AACATCCCCTTGCCAGCAATCAACACCCAGATAAGCAGGGATTAACACTAGGATCAACACCAGACAAACAATCAAGCAGTAAACAACAGCTTTATCCGGGAGCTACCAAAGGAAAAAAAGCCAACTCCCCCACCAATACTGACAGGACAAGCTAGTATATATAAACAAAGAGCCAACCCCACTCCCTTCTAGTACTGAAGATATTACCTAGCCAGGTAACGAAATGTCTGCAAGAAAACAACCAAGCTCAGAGAACCCCAATGATTCGCCGAGAAAGAATTAATCCAAATTAATCCTTTGAAATGAATGAGACCTATACTAAAAACTTAAACCTGCTCTGTTTCTCACAAACTGAATTAAAACTGAAGCCCCGATAAGGTGTTTGCATTGGGGGAAGAAGAGATCCATCGACTCTAGGATATGCCTGCAAATACTAGTTTTTCTCATAATACGTGGCTCTTTGTCAGGGTAATCAAGATGCAGAGGAGAATGGCAAACCTGTATAGTGTGACCAATGTAAAAATTCCCTTAAGCCGAGCTCAGCTCCAGGTGACTACCTGGACACATCCATTATTTTTCATGGCAGCAATACAGAAGTGGCTTGCCAATGCCTTCTTCCAGATGTTTCTTTCCCTTCCTCAGCCCTGCAGTTTCTTCTTGGTCTCTCCTCCTGCAAGAACTGACATTTTATCATTCTGGGATCAGCCAGGATTAGATAGGTACTGCCACCTGCTGTAGTCAAATGGGATTCATTTAAAATCAGAATAATATACTATAGGGCATATGCTTTTGAAGGAAACAGCTCCGTGTTGAATTTTACAAATGTAGTTGTCAGTTAGATTTTCCTTCCCGTCTTGAGAACATTGACACAGCAGTGATATAAAGCAAAAAATGTATTTTTAGACCTAGGTTACTGAAAATATTATTGTGTACCAGATTACTTGATTTACCTAAACATTAATCTTGTGTCAGTATCAAACATTAAATCAGCTTTCTCCAACTGGTGCCCTCCATGTGTTTGACTACAACTTCCATAATTTTCAGTCAGCATTGGAAAGATGGTATTTGTAATCAAACACATCTGGAAGAGACTAGATATGTTTGAGGAAGACTATACAATACATATAGATCAGTGGGATAAATTTATGGGGGGGGGGGGAAATCCCTAGTTTCTCCCAATAAATCCGTGAAGCACAGAAGAAATTGCAAACCACCTGTATTGGGGGAGCCTCCAGTTTTAAAGCTGTTCACATTGTTTCCAGAACCATCTTGTTCAAAATTCCAGAAGATTCCCCAACCATTTGGAATAGCTTTTAGCAGAGCAGGACATTTAAAGGAAAGAGGAAAACCAAAGATTCATCACCTAGACTTCTATCAGTGTAAATGCTCTACTGTAGGCCTGGGAAACCTGTGGTCTTTCTGCATATTAGTTTCCAGCATCCTTCATCATTGGTCATGCTGGGTGTAAAGCTAGGAACTAAAACTGGTTCACAATTCCTGCTTTATTGGATCTGACATCTTCTGACAAAAAAAAAAGAAGCTTTTACAGCATTATGGGAATTCCTAACACATCCAGAGGACATGCGGCTTAGAGAGTTGAGCTAATCTAATTTTGTGAGCATACTAATGAAATGAAATGAATAATAAATAGAATCCTGTTCTTACAGAAAGCAAAAAAAAAAAGGGCTAAATAAATACAAAGCTTATCACCATTTCCATTTGAATTCTGTGAAGCTCAGAGGTTTGCATAGGCCCTTCCATAAAGATTGGTTGAGTAAAAGGCAGTAGCTTATGGATATTAACAACAGAAGTTAGTTTGGGGAATTTATGTTATTGATTTTATTGTTTTTGAAAAGGTCAGTTTACTATTCCATGATACGCCAAGCTTCATATCCTTACATCTCAATGACTTCCTGGCCACGATTAGTTCCTGTTCAAAAGGGGATAGCAATATTTTCAAATTTAGTGGAAATATGAAGCCATGGTTTAAAGTGAGCTTTTGTATTCTAGGTTCTTTGGAAGCAATTTACAATAGTTATTACAGGAAGCTATGGTGAACTGCAATTTCCAGCTTGTTCATACAGAGATAAGCAAAGGGACTGCCTGAAGATGTACTGAGCTCATAAAAATATATGAGATCATCACCCCAAATAGCCCAGCACACAATGGCAAACTAGATGCATACAGGAAGTTCACAAACATAGGACAATAGCTTCTGCCACTTTTGCTCCCTAACAACAGGTATTTCAGGTATGCGATCCAAGAAATACCATACAGCTATCAGAACTAATCACTAATTCTCTAAAAAAAACCAACTCCATTCCCTTAAATAATCTAAACTAACAAAATATTACGTAATTTAACCACTTGTTATATAAAGAAGTACCTTTTTTTTAAATCAGTGCTGAAACTCCCTGCATTTAGATTTAATGGTTGACCCAGTGTAGTGAGGGAAGAAGAAATTAATTTCTATCCATAGGTTCTACTCCATGCATTTTCATATTCATGTGTGGGCCTCCGTATCTGCTTTCACTTTAAATTACAAAGCCCCAAATGCTGTAGTTCTCCTCAAAGGGGAGTTCCATTTTTGCATCTTTTCCACATCTGCAGCATCTTTTTGGGGTGTGCTAATCAGGATTTGAAAAACAGTTTTCCAAATGCTGTTGTGCCATATTTACTATATTGGCAGTTTTATTTTTTATTTCTCTTATAATGATTCTGGCATCTGATAGGTTGTACAACAGCTACACAACAGGTGACATTTCCATTATGTTATCCTCCAAAACCCCAAAACATGTTTCCAGAGCAGTCACAGTGGCTCACATTCCATTAAGGCATATATGAAGTTGCTTTTCTGGTTAATTGTTTTTCTTTTTTAACCAAAACTGTATCACTTTGTAATTACACTCCCATATATCAGGGCTAATTCAAGATCTTGACTATCCAAAGTTAGCCATTATACTGCATAGGTGAATGGCAGCTTCTCCAATAAGGGCACCTTAAAATGTGAATGTAATATTTAACACAAACTATCCATTATAAATATATTCACCTAATAAACATCAGTCTCTTTGATACTCTCAGTAAATGCAGCAATTTTGTTTTCAGACATTTATTGCAAACAAACACTTGGGAGATGCTCTCCTAGTTTTTAAAAAGTCCCAGATTACTTTAGCTAACTTTGTAATGAGTAACAGATTGAACAGAAAGTTAAAAGTGTACACCAGCACAACAAATATAGCAAGAACATTGGAATCTTGACCCTGATCCAGATCGGACAGCTGAGATTTGCAGGGCTATGCAAAGCTTTGAAAGAGCACTTCACTTCAACTGAAATATCCTTGTGAGGCTTAGCATGGTGAAGCCTCATTAAAGCAGGTGCTTTTTGACTCTCTGCACCTGGTAGAAGTGAAGAAGTCCACCTTGACTGGAGGCCTCAATCAAGGTTCAAGTGATGTGCTCCACTGGATTGAGACTGTTCTTCAAACTGGCCTCGAGATTATCTTCTCACTGATTTCACTGGGATTAAACACAACTAAAATGCTGTGGCAGGTTGAGGGAAGTTGAAGAAGGGGAAGACAATGGATAAGTGGACGGAATGATCAGGGATAACTGAAATGTCCCTAGAAAACCTCGAGATTTTCACTAGGGATGAGTCAAGATGGAAGGCATCTGTCCATATGATAATCAGAGTCAGACTTGATTCAATAATACCAAATTAACATATATGAGTGCTGTACCTTGTACAAATGGCAAACAAATTTGTCAATAAATTAGATATATCAATAAGTTAGATACCTTATAATTTAAATACTATTTAAGTTAAAGAATGTGCATTAGTTCTTACTCTATTTGTTTTCCTATTATACTTATATGTAAATTGTGTATTTGTGTGCACTGGAAAATCTTCTACTCACATTTTCGATCCACAAAAACAATTCCTACTTTATTGGATTTTGTAAAAGAGCTCCAAATAGTTAGAACTGCTTTTAGGACATAGTTTGTCTTATATAAATAATATGTACTAGGAAAACTCTTTCATAGGTTTAGTTCTGTTTCATTTAACACTTCACAGGAATTCCATTTGCTGGACACTTTTCTTCAGTTTCAATCTCCTTAATCAGCAGGTCATCATAATTAATATGATGAAAATATACATTTCAATAAAATGATCAAAATCCAAAGATACCTCCTATTTATTACAACAAAAACATTATTTAGTAGACTAAGGATGGCCAACTTCTATTGTTACTCTTCCTTCATTTCTCTAGATGGTGTGTGAAAGCAGAGAAACATTACCACTCACGCTGCTAAAATCTCCAAGTATTTAGACTCCAGTGTCTCTGCACAACTAGAAATCTTCAACGCTTTAGTGTGCAATATCTGAAGCCTATCAGCCAATACTTATCTCAATAACAGCAACGATCTTTGACAAGTATTCAAATCAGTCATCTGATACTAACTTTAAAAATAATCTAGAATTCACGAGAGTGTTCTGTGGTCATTTCAACATTAACAAATTACATAAGCTTCCATGCATTTTAGTCCTTTTCATCAGAGGCACAGAAATGGAACGTGATCCTTGCAAGCTCATGTAATAATACATTTACCAGTCTTTATAATCCTAAAAATCACTTGGTTGCTTTTGCTACAACAGGCTAATATAACTCTCCCCAGTTATTATTCAGATACACCCACATATTGTTAGCAATTCTAACTTAGTTTTGCCTCTAAAAGGGACACATAATTCAGCTTTATTGCCATTTAGAAAAGCAGTGGACCACAGGGAGTCAAGAGGAAATAACTCACTATAGGTAGTCCTCGCTTACCAACCATTCATTCAGCGACCGTTTGAAGTTACGATGGTGGTGAAAAAGGAGACTTACCACTGGTCCTCGAAGTTGTGGCCATCACAGCATCCCCATGGTCACATGATTGCGATTTGGGTGCTTGGCAACTGGCGCACATTTATGATGGTTGCAGCATCCCACGGTCAAGTGATCACCATTTGCGACTTTCACAGCCGGCTTCTGACAAGCAATGTCAATGGGGAAGCTGGCAGGAAGTCACAAGTCAGTCACATGAAGTAGCGCTTAATGATTGCACCACTTAGCAATGGAGTTGTTGGTCCCAATTGTGGCTGGTAAGTGAGGACTACTTGTATGTGATTTTTCCCCCCCTTTGACCAGGTTTCTTTTAAAGTGATCTGCCAGGGCATTTTCCCTGCCCAATTTTTATGATTTTGGGTAGAGTACAAAACCTCCCAATTAAGAGCCCTGATAGGCTGCCAGACATGGTTGGGTGAGTAGTGCTTTTATCTCAGGATTACTGTAACTTAGAAGAGAATGAAGACTTACTGCCTTGATATAAGCATCTTTGCCATAACACAACATCCAAATAGCTGCCAGTGCTCATTTTCACCTTTTCACAGTGTGTGTGTGTGTGTGTGTGTGTGAAAATGCTTTCTGAATTCTTCCATCCTCAGCTGCAGAAACTCTTGAAGCAGTGCACCAATTTCCACACGTATTGTACCATCGAAGCAGTGGCAGAATCCTTTACAGGATCATTCATTACTAAATCCATGAAGATCCCAAGGCTGATGACTTCAAGGCGAGGCATGATGCAAATGGCAACAAATACATTTCTGATGCCAGTTTCTTATAGATCACTCAGTAGAGTTGAATGACTTCTTCCCATTCATTGACAGGCCAGATTCCATTAGGCTGGACATTAGGGGGCGAATTTTTCCAATCCCACACTTTCACAGGCACCTTCCAGTCTTTACCGTAATTGGCTTCAATATAGTGGAGGGTTTCACATGGCACATGTACCTTAAGTTCTAGAAACTCAGTCCAGCATAGGGTAAATTTGGGAAAGAGGTACCTGCAAAAAGGAAAAACAGTTAAGATGGTGTAGGTAATATGCTAAGCAACTGGTGCCAAGTAGGTTACATTTTTAGATTATTATGTGGCAGATTGGATATAAGCAATATGCAAAGTTAGCTTCTGCAAGTGATATATATTATACTAAATTATTAAGGAAAGTTGTTGCATAATTTATTTTAATTCTGCTGAGTTATAATGACAGATGAGGAGCTATTTACAGCACTGAAATGCAATCTTCAAAGTCCCAAGGAAGCAAATTCTCCTTTTTAACCTTTAAGCAAGCATTTTGAAGTGCATAATCACGAGAATTAGAGACCTTTTTGTTGTTAATAAACATAAACATTTGAATTTCAGGACACTCATTTCCTTAACCGGCTCCTGAATGTGTTTCTGAACTAAAATTCCTACAGATTGTCCAAGCATCTGCTTTGCAGACTGAACTGATTAACCAGAAACACAGAAACACAATTCTTCACTAGTGATCAAATTTGTACTAAAATACGAGCAGTCACATCTTTGATCAGAGGAAGAGAAACTAACACGCTGCCCCAGAAATTCCACCCATTCTTAATAACATTATTGATCCAAAGAACATTCATTTTTCTATAATGTCATCTGTATAGAAGAGATCAAGCTTAATACCAACATCTTAACCAACAATTATTTGGTTAGATGACTGGCCTTGGATTGAAATCTTTTTATTTCCCATTATATTCCCTCAACTTAATTTACTCAAATAATTTATTTCCTTCCAGTTTAGTTACTCACAGGATAGATTACAACTATTCGAAAAAATCCTTATTCTAACACAGTAAAATTGACCGAGCAACAATTACAGATACAACAAGAATAAACAGCTAAGTTACAAACACAGCTGATAGTTAAACAAGAAAATCAATCCTAGATAAGGCTGATGGCATTCTGAAATGTCCAGAGAAATTTAGAAAAATCTTAATCTGTATTTAAAAAAAAAAAAAGAGTTCAGAAGCAGATGAACTTTCCTGGGCCGAGGCTAAGGGGAAGAGTTACTTACAAAGTACTCTTTGCTATTTCACCATCCCACCTGATTCCAGAAAGTGGGGTAGTGAAGCCTCTGAGTGTCAGTATTCCAAGACGCTCATGTGGGAGAAAATAACTTAGATTTCCAGATGCAAAGCAGCTGAAATCTTGCAAAGATGAATGCCAGCATTTTGAATTGCATTCAGAAATGGAAGTTTAACATATTGTAGGAGGTTCTGCAAAGCTAAATATCTGCAGAGGTGGGCTGATAAATGTGAGTCAACTTATATTTCAAAGACATTTGTTGTCCATTACTAAACTTACCACTGAGAAACTTCCTGAAAAATTTCTTAGGAGCCCAGCCAATGTTCTCCAAAAAGCTTATAATTCATTAGAGAGGAAGCAATTATTTGTTGGCTAACAGACTATGCCTATATAGATGGAAAAAGATAGTTCTTTAGTAAGGTTTCCCCCCACAAATACCAACTCTGAGCCATACTTAAATTTCTTGCCCGATTTGGCCTGGGTCCCTCCATTCCACACGTGGTCATCCTCTTCATAGAAGAAAAAAATGTCAAGCTTCACATCATCTTCTCCTCCCTGGAAGGAGAGCTCTAAACTATCTTCAACCTATAAAGAAAGGAAAAAAAGAACTCTAGATACAGATAATAATGTGGGCACTCATCAAAATTAACCCTCAGATTCCCTTCCAACCCTGTAATTCTTAACTCTGAAATTTGAGTACTTTCTAGCTGTATTATGAAGATAAGACTTCTTAAGGAGCAGCTGAAGGAAACAGTATGGCTCTTTCAGCACCCTATGAAATTTGGTCAGGAAGGGGAATCACTTGGAGTGCCAAGATTATGAATTTTATGCCCAGTCTATTAATGTATATAACAGCATCACAGAAATGTAACAAGTCTTCAGCAGTTTCTTTAACATTTCTTTTCTAAAGAAGCTGAACCAGAAGTAAAAAACCAGGAAATCTTAAATTTCTCACTGCTCAGATGCCAATAAAACTAATAGGGCTGAAAAGTCAAGAAGTACAATAATTATGATGATAGAAGAGAAAGCTGTGCAAGGACTGTGATTAGCCCTAGACAGTCTACAAGATAATACAAGTAATTCAATATTTACGAAGGAATGAGGGCTGTACCATTTGCCCTGCTGGGGGAAAAAAAAAATCTCTCATTAAGTTTTAAAAAAACATTACTTCCGGGAGAATAACAGCTGGGGAAAAGGAGTAATTTGCAAGAAAACTAATGTCTGGACTGGGAGCGTGTTTTGATCTAGGAAGCTGTGGCCACTTTTATGTTGAATTGCAGCACACAGTCCTTGCAAGCTGTTCCCTCTCATTTATCCTCATAATAACTCTGTGAAGTAGGTTACATAAAAATCCTGATTGCCCCAAACCAATCAGCAAGCTCCAGGGATGAGAAAAGATCCAAAACCAGGTTGCTCCACTCCCCAGCATTCCTTGGCCAAAATGCATTCTTCTAGTACAATGTTTTTCAAACCTGGCAACTTTAAGATGTGTGGACTTCAACTCTCAGAATTCCCCAGTCAGCATTGTGGCTGGGGAATTCTGGGAGTTGAAGTCCACACATCTTAAAATTGCCAAGTTTGAAAAACACTGTTCTAGTATAACCTAATAATTCCATTAATGTTTCAGACACCCTGAAAAAAGGATTGGCAAGAAAGGAAAGTATGAGTCAAGTATATTATTCACCAACCTTGCCAAATTTGTGCTTTATTGGTAATCCAGCCTTCTGAAATGCTGGAATAATATCCGGTTTATAGTCTTGAATAAAAATCCCCAAGTCCATGTCTTTACTGTAAGGAATAATGTTGCACTGTCTGTACCAACCTAAATATACAACAGATCCATGAGAAATGTAACACAATCATGCAGCTCCTGCATTGATGAAAAAGAGTTAAATAAGGCACAGAAATTACACCCAGAAGTTTTCCATTCCAAGGAAAGATGGAGAATTCAATCTCTCCTCTAACAATCTGCTGCATTTATATGGTAGAGAAGAGGGAAATTTCCTCCTCTTGTTTCCTATGATGGGAACAGCAGAAGGACAATTTTACTTGCCCAGACCTGTTCATCACCCAAGGCTGATGTTTGAACCTAAGACTTCACTACCATTTTCACAATTGAAAATGGCTGATTTCTTTCTTCTAAGAGAGCAGTCCTGTGCTTTACATGTTTGGAGAGAGTAGTTTCTTTATAATTATTAAGAGAAATTATATCAGTTTGAAAAATCCAGGAAGAACCGTTTCTGGTGAACCATGGTGGGCTGCAACCTCTCTTTCATGACAGAAGATTCCCAAAAGTTTAGGAATTTTTGCAAGTGACTTTGCCCAGAACAAATAAAAAGTATTTATTTGATTTATATGTCTGCCCATCTCGCAAATATGACTCTGGGTGGCTAACACGTGGAAGCAACAGAAAAACAGTATTAACAAAGAGTAGAAACCTACAGCGGTCCCCAAGGGTAAACCCAGACAAAGCAATCCACAAAAGCCTCTCAAGGCCATCTAACCTCCCAACCACATAAGGGCAAAATCATAATAACTTTGTAGGCAATATTTTTATTGTTTTTAAATTATAGTTTTTAAATTGTTCTGGTGTTTTATATTGTTTTTAATTGTTGTGAGCTGCCCAGAATCATGTATTTGAGATGGGCAACTATATAAATGGAAGGAAGGCAGGCAAGCAGGCAGGCTTTCCTCACACAGAATATTCATATTTTTAGTATTACTCGACAAAAATAAGGATCTAACTTAGTTCTCTGGAGAAGGCTCTAATGCTGGGAAAGATGGAATGAAAGAGAAGAAGACAACCAGTAGCAAGGTGGATGGACTCAGTCACAGACTCAGCACCGACCTGATGGCACATAATAGATCAAGCAACCATATTTAACAATCGTACAGCATCAAAATAAAAAGCTGTTTAATTCAACAACTTGTGCTAAGCAAGCAATCTTCCAGCAGATCAGGATACAATTGGTATCTGTGTGCTATTTATTTCATTTAGCTTGGATGAGTCCCACATTAATGCTTTATCAAGAACATTTGTATTTCATATTTGCACCTACAAAACTGGCAAATCCTTTCCAGTGCCACTTTCCAATTTTTAAAAAATACTGCAGTGTTTTAAACCTAGTTAATCAATTATATAAATCTATTGTTCATATTTCAGTATTAGTACTATTTTGGAAACTCCGTCTCTTGCTTTATATAGAAAGATCTGCATATATTTACCTGGGAGCAGGTTTCTGAACTCAATGGAACTTGCTTTTGAGCAGACATGCAGAGAACTATGTTAGTTTCAATTCCATTCTGGAGTTTAATCTATGACTTACCAACTATTCTGATGTAGGACATTTTTCTTACAAATATTTAAATAGCCTTGCAGCTTCCTCTACCTCCAACATTTCACGGAGATGTTTCTGCTTTTTCTAGGGCACCCCCAAGAATTGGGCACTGTATAGCAAATCAAATTAAGACACAGAGTGTATCCTCTGGCTTACGCTCTATGGAGAACAATATGATCCGTAAATGAAAAGGGCTGATGGATGAGATTGAGAAGGTCCACATGTTAAAGGGAGTGCAGAAGTTTTAACTACACATTTAAATATGTATACAAGATAGGATCAAAATCACATGAGAAGAATCATGTAGTCTACTCACTGTGATAATATACCTACAACAGAATCTACCTATTTATCTTCTGAAGCGAGCAATTTAGAAGAGGTTGGAAATTAAGGATCTGCAATATTTCATATCTGAAACTGAAAAGGTGCTACGGAGTGGGCATGGGTGCACATGCCCCACCCAGCAGGGTTTTATTAAAACTCTTCTTTTATTGGGCTCAGACAACAGCTAGCCTGATCCCACCAAAAAATGTGTTCGAATTAAGGAGGCATCAGTAGCATGGCCACACTTGTGCCAAAGCACCTTGGTATCTCCTTCACTGAAATGCATCATTTCCTGGGATTGTGCAGCTTCCATGTGAGCAAGGAAAAGATGCAGCTTCTTTAAGGAAATGCAGACAGGTATGGTATGCATCCCCACACCTGCTCCAAAGCACCTTTTTCGCTCTGGATATGAAATCCTGCACACTCCTACTTACACTTATGTAAGAGGCTTACATGAGGTTGACCAAGTATGTTGGATTACAACTACCAGTACTCCTAACCAACACGGGCCTTTAACCCGTTTAAGGAGCATGAGGTAAAGCAGCGTTGTCCAAACTTGGCCTCTTTAAGATGAGTGGACTTCAACTCCAAGAATTCCCCAGCTAGCCATGCTGGCTGGGGAATTCTGGGAGTTGAAGTCCACTCATCTTAAAGAGGCCAAGTTTGGACAACGCTGCTTTACCTCATGCTCCTTAAACGGGTTAAAGGCCCGTGTTGGTTAGGAGTACTGGTAGTTGTAATCCAACATACTTGGTCAACCTCATGTAAGCCTCTTACATAAGTGTAAGTAGGAGTGTGCAGGATTTCATATCCAGAGCGAAAAAGGTGCTTTGGAGCAGGTGTGGGGATGCATACCATACCTGTCTGCATTTCCTTAAAGAAGCTGCATCTTTTCCTTGCTCACATGGAAGCTGCACAA